AATCAATAATACATCAACAACTTGATATCCAAAGAGCACGAGCAAGACAGGCGGAATCACAAGGAAGAGAATTCAAAATGCGATTAAAGGAGGACAGAACCATATTTGGATTAGCAACAGAGCATGCTAACTCTATGAAATAATTAAACCACCATCAAGACCGCACATTTTCTTTCGCCGCGTGGAAAATGAAAGCGCAACTTGGATCCGAATACGAGAGATCTACTCTCTGAGGGGTAAACAGAGTCTGGTGAATGGAAATACGAATGAACATTGAAAATGCCACTCGGAAGCTCTGTTTCATAGAAAAATATGACAGAAATGACAGCTCCTACATTAAACGGTAGAAAGCGATTGGAGAAAACGACATCAGAACTGCGAAAGGCGGAAGCAGAAAGAGGTACTGTTCGAGACAACCAGTGGAACTGATCCTAAGGGGAACACAAGAAGTGCAATTCGATTGGAATCAAAACAGAAAACATATGACAAAGCTAAGTGAGAGGAAGATCAGACTGCTATCACTAATCAATAGCAATGTAAGTTGTCAATGAGGGAGGAAAGGGGTTGTTATTGACAAGACTGGCAGGGAGTGTTCGATCGAAATACATAATGAAAGTACAACCCAAGAAAGCGCTCGTATTTTCGATGAATAGCTGACACAGACAGTTATCTCAATCTTCGGATTGAACTGAAAACTCTATTTGAGAAAAAAGGAGAAGCTTGACAAGGATCTTCTTTCCAGCTGAAGTATTTATCGTTTTCAATGATTTCATGATAGATCAACCGCTGGAAATCAGAAGCGCACAAGTAGAGACGGGCGCAATCACAAGAAACAGAACTACAATCAGGAAAATTCAGTGAAAACTAATAGATTTGTAAGCAAAACGGTATGTTCTCGATGGGGCACAACGATCTCCGTCTAGAAGGGGAAACTCCCGTGTTCGACCAATAGCTCGAAGAAGGCAAGAACTATCAACAAGTATTTCGAAATAGAGAAATGGTCACATTGATACACCCAAAGACTACGCTAGAAAGCTCAGACAATCCCGGAAGGAGGAGGAGGCGGGGTTTACCAGGAGGCCCTTCGGAAAAGGAAAATTTGATAAACGAAGGACCGAAAAAAAGGAAAAATTTTTACAACAACATACTTATTCAAATAATTTAAAATAAAGAGAATTAAACAAGAAAAAAAAACTAAAAATTGTTCGAAATTCTCATTTTTTTTTGAAAAATTTGAATTTTTTGCAAATTGGTCCCGACACGATTTTGTAATTTTGGATTTGGCAGATGGGTTGGGACTAGGTGGCCTCGGAACAAAACCAGAAAATTTTGTCAAAAAAAACCTTGTATTTTAA